AGGGGAGGAAAATGGCATCATGCAAGGAATGAGAAGGCATCATGCAGGGAACGGCAAGGCACCTTGAGGGAATGAGAAGGCACATGATTTTGATGTGCCCTAGTACATTGTTTTGCTTTTGTGTTCATACATTCATGCATCGTTCTGGTTCGCTCTTACCACGTGGGCGTGCGCGTCAGCCTGCCCCGCCCCGTGCTGCACTGTCACGCCCCGCTGGCAGCTGCTGAAACACGGGGAGGGAGGGCGGGAGGGAGGAGAGGGGAGGGGAGGGGAGATGAGGCGTTGGTCAAATGACTCAAAACAGAGGGGAGAGAGGAGGGGATTTGTCAAATGACTCAAAACAAAGAGGAGAGAGTAGGGGATTGGTCAAATGACTCAAAACAGGGGGAAGAGAGGAGGGGATTGGTCAAATGACTCAAAACAAAGAGGAGAGAGGAGGAGATTGGTCAAATGACTCAAAACAGAGGGGAGAGAGTAGGGGATTGGTCAAATGACTCAAAACAGGGGGAAGAGAGGAAGGGATTGGTCAAATGACTCAAAATCAAGAGGAGAGCGGAGGGGATCGGTCAAATGACTCAAAACAGAGGGGAGAGAGGAGGGGATTGGTCAAATGACTCAAAACAAAGAGGAGAGAGGAGGGGATTGGTCAAATGACTCAAAACAAAGGGGACAGAGGAGGGGATTGGTCAAATGACTCACAACGCACCTGGGGCTGGTTTGGTGGGCCATGCGGCATGGCATGGCGCTGCGCTCCCTCCTCCTGCTTCTGTTTCTCTCCCTTGTTCTCTCTCATGTCCCGCGCATGGATGAACAGGGACGGCCACACAAGCAGCTGGCAACGCATCTGCTCCCTGTGCAAAGTATCTTCATCTTGGCGACAGGAGAAACTGGCACCTGCGCAAGGGGAGGGGAGGAGTTGGGGTGGGGGAGCAGAGCAAGTGAGCGGGGGGAGCAGGGAAAGTGAGCGGGGGGAGCACCCTAAACCCCCTTACCCCCTTACCTGGCAGGAAATGAAAGTCACCATGCAGGGAATGCGAATGCACCTGGCAGGGCATGCCAAGGCACCATGCAGGGCATGAGAATTTACCGGGCAGGGCATGAGAAGGCACCATGCAGGGCATGGGAAGGCACCTGGCAGAAGGGGGGAAGTGGGGAAAGAGGGGAGGGGGTGGGTGAGACATGCTCAAATGGGCAAGCGCTGCACTGGTACCTGGCAGAAAGGGGAGGGGAGAGGGTGGCCTGGATGTCTCAACGTTCCCCAGAGCGCCATGAGCAGCGCCGTCGTTGTCGTTGGCGTGTCAGCGGCATGGCAATCGGCGGCGTGACAGCGGCGTGGCATCGGCGCCCTGAAGCGGAGCTAAACGGAAATCGCCATGTTTGGTGGCAGATTTTGGATGTGGAATGCCGCATTGCTGCTGGCTCCTGGAACGGCAGATGACGAGCTTGTGCTGGCTGCAGCGTGCCTGCCATGACCATGCACACGTCAGCAGGAACAAGGACAAGCAGAAATCGGAACAAACGGAGCTAAGAAGAGGGAATCTACGAAGAAAACGAAATTACTGGAAACAAGACTGAAGATAGCGTGAGTAAGAAAGCGGGCTTACGAAATACTAATGCCATGGCCCATGGCGGATGGCGATCCAAAAGAGAGGCTGCGCTCTTGAGTAGAATGGCTTGAGATTGAAACGAGATCTGGAAAAAAAAAAAATAGCAAACGAAATCACGAAAAACGAAACTACGATAGCGTGACTGCGACTAAGAAAGCAGGCTTACGAAATGGTGATGCCATGCCCCATGGCGGAGGGCGATCTAGAAGAGAGGCTCGGATGTTGAGTTGAGATAGAGTGGCGGATGATAAGAATCGAGGTCTGAAAAACGGGAGTGGGAGTTAGGTGAGCGATTGTGAGCCCAGCCCACTCACATCACGTTTCGTGCACTTTCTGGCTTGCTTGGTCCCCCTGAACGAACGTGGGTTCGTGGTGCAAAGTGGATGTACTGAAGTAGCGTTCTGCACAGTGCTACGTCGGCAGCGCAGTGACAAAGTCGGAAAGTCGGTTTGGGTGCCCTGCGTATATGCAGTCCGACACTCCGATACAGCGAGCGCGACCCAAAGTGAATGTGCCAGCATTTACAGTGACAAATTCGCAGCGCGAATAGGTTTCGCTCGTCAGCTGTGCCCAAAACGAGAACAGCAAAACAGTATCTTGCAAAACTACAGCTTTCCACATGGCAGTAAACAGAACAGATTTTGCTGATTTACAAGCTACACATGTAAGTTGACAAATATGTTTGTGTAATCTGGAGCTTATGCATGTAGGTCAACAAATCAATGACAAATTAGCTCTGGAATAATGAGCTGAATATTAAGGAACGTGCGCATCTGCATGCGTAAATGCATGAATACCCGCATGTCTGGTACCTACCTATTTAACCTAGACGCACGTAGACCTACGTATGCATGCGTACGTATGCCTTCATGCACGTAGTGCGTCTACCTACCGTACACACTCGTACGCGACGCATATGTACATAACCGTACATGCACCAACGCGTACGCACTCGTACGACCGACCTTTTTCTTTGCCCGCGCAAAGAGAGCCGTTGATATCGTCTCGCCGGGGACAATCGCTCTTGCTCGACTGATCGTCAAGTGTGACCGATTTTCGCCATTCAGCACCGTGGTTACGCCAACAGATTGATTGGTTGGATGCTGACCGGGACAAGCTTCACTTCCACCATTGGGCTGGGATAGAAAGAGAGAGACACGAAGGGCAGCGAGCGACATAGAGGGAGTGATGGAGGTGTAAGGAAGAGAAAGGGTGTTGAGCCTCAGTTGTTAAGGAGGTTTAGGGGGTGCAGAGATGCCCGAGAGCAGGTGAGTGGTGCAGCAGAGCAGGTGAGTGGTGCAGCAGAGCAGGTGAGTGGTGCAGCAGAGCAGGTGAGTGGTGCAGCAGGGCAGGTGAGTGGTGCAGCAGAGCAGTTGAGTGGTGCAGCAGAGCAGGTGAGTGGTGCAGCAGAGCAGGTGAGTGGTGCGGCAGAGCAGGTGAGTGGTGCGGCAGAGCAGGTGAGTGGTGCAACAGAGCAGGTGAGTGGTGCAGCAGAGCAGGTGAGTGGTGCAGCAGAGCAGGTGAGTGGTGCAACAGAGCAGGTGAGTGGTGCAGCAGAGCAGGTGAGTGGTGCGGCAGAGCAGATGAGTGGTGCGGCAGAGCAGGTGAGTGGTGCAGCAGAGCAGGTGAGTGGTGCGGCAGAGCAGGTGAGTGGTGCAGCAGAGCAGGTGAGTGGTGCAGCAGAGCAGGTGAGTGGTGCGGCAGAGCAGGTGAGTGGTCTAGCAGAGCAGGTGAGTGGTGCGGCAGAGCAGGTGAGTGGTGCAGCAGAGCAGGTGAGTGGTGCAGCAGAGCAGGTGAGTGGTGCGGCAGAGCAGGTGAGTGGTGCAACAGAGCAGGTGAGTGGTGCAGCAGAGCAGGTGAGTGGTGCGGCAGAGCAGGTGAGTGGTGCGGCAGAGCAGGTGAGTGGTGCGGCAGAGCAGGTGAGTGGTGCGGCAGAGCAGGTGAGTGGTGCGGCAGAGCAGGTGAGTGGTGCGGCAGAGCAGGTGAGTGGTGCGGCAGAGCAGGTGAGTGGTGCGGCAGAGCAGGTGAGTGGTGCGGCAGAGCAGGTGAGTGGTGCGGCAGAGCAGGTGAGTGGTGCGGCAGAGCAGGTGAGTGGTGCGGCAGAGCAGGTGAGTGGTGCGGCAGAGCAGGTGAGTGGTGCGGCAGAGCAGGTGAGTGGTGCGGCAGAGCAGGTGAGTGGTGCGGCAGAGCAGGTGAGTGGTGCGGCAGAGCAGGTGAGTGGTGCGGCAGAGCAGGTGAGTGGTGCGGCAGAGCAGGTGAGTGGTGCGGCAGAGCAGGTGAGTGGTGCGGCAGAGCAGGTGAGTGGTGCGGCAGAGCAGGTGAGTGGTGCGGCAGAGCAGGTGAGTGGTGCGGCAGAGCAGGTGAGTGGTGCGGCAGAGCAGGTGAGTGGTGCGGCAGAGCAGGTGAGTGGTGCGGCAGAGCAGGTGAGTGGTGCGGCAGAGCAGGTGAGTGGTGCGGCAGAGCAGGTGAGTGGTGCGGCAGAGCAGGTGAGTGGTGCGGCAGAGCAGGTGAGTGGTGCAGCAGAGCAGGTGAGTGGTGCGGCAGAGCAGGTGAGTGGTGCGGCAGAGCAGGTGAGTGGTGCGGCAGAGCAGGTGAGTGGTGCAGCAGAGCAGGTGAGTGGTGCGGCAGAGCAGGTGAGTGGTGCGGCAGAGCAGGTGAGTGGTGCGGCAGAGCAGGTGAGTGGTGCAGCAGAGCAGGTGAGTGGTGCGGCAGAGCAGGTGAGTGGTGCGGCAGAGCAGGTGAGTGGTGCGGCAGAGCAGGTGAGTGGTGCAGCAGAGCAGGTGAGTGGTGCGGTGACAGTGTAGGGGTGCAGCAGGATAAGGGAGTTGATGCTCAGCTGACAACTGAGAGCTGAGTTGAATGTACTGTAAAAAGAGAACGCTCATCTGTTTTTGGCCGGGTGAGGCACTTTCCTGAGCACAATTAACAACAACAAGGAACCAGGCAGGTATGAACCCACTAGGTGTTGCACATCATCATATGTAAGAGTGTTATGCTACTGGTCCTGTGATTTAAGCAATTTGTTGTGTTGTATAGTATTTGACAACGACGTGATTTATGCTATTTGTTGTGTACTGAGCTCTCTTGTCAAGCATCATGGAGGACGCAGAGCCGCTGCGCGCGCTCTCCGCCCACATCGCGTAAAAACGGACCAGGCGGGTATCGCGATAGTTTCCCTCAGCTTTCCGCTCTATCGCCGCGTTCCTTCCGTCCCTAGTCCCTCCCCGCGCTGCGCGCGCTCTCCGTCCACAGCGCGTGACGCGGACCCTACTTGTCTCCCGGGTCTCTCGGGTGAGAGCCGAGTATCCTAACCGACTAGACTACAACGGATGTCACCAACCTTTGACACAAAAATAATGACCTATGTGTTTTTCTGCAATTCTGCCGCTCACGATGACGTTTTCCCATGCGGTTGTCATGACGTCGTCTCTCTCCGTCGCCCTGCACGGGGGCGGTCGCGTGCTCAGCATTCAGTCACATACCGTCCAGGTATCCGTTGCATGCAGTCGTACACTGCCCAGGTATCCTCATCATTCTGTCGCAGACCGTGTTGGTCACCGTCGCATTCACCTGCCCTCACGGTCCAGATAGCAAACGATACCGACGTCGTTACTCTACCCCGGCGTAGGCAATGCAAAGCAGCGTTTTTACGTTACGTAGGGTAACCCTACGGTAGCCAAAGCAACCGCCGGTGGCCGAGAGTCCCTCTCAGGTGTCTCTCAGACGCCCCTCTCAAGTGACTCTCAGGTTACCCTCTCAGGTGTCTCTCAGGTGCCCATCTCAGGTGTCCATCTCGGGTGCCCCTTTCAGGTACCCCACTCAGGTGTTTCTCAGGCGCCCATCTCAGGTGTCTCTCAGGCGCCCCTCTCAGGTATTTTCTCAGGGGGTCCCTCTCAGGCTTCTCTCAGCTGTCCCTTTCAGCTGCCCCTCTCAGGTGTCTCTCAGGTTCCCCTCTCAGGTGCCCATCCCAGGTGTCTCTCCAATGTCTCTCAGGTGCTTGCTTAGTACGACCATGCGAAGTCTGGTATGAAGCTCTGAGTGTCTCGGTCATGCATCAAGTGTATGAAGCATGGGCTCATGCGAACGCGTGTGTGAAGGCGTGTGTCTGCATTGAGTGTATGAGTGTATGTATATACATGCATACATAAATCTATCTATATACATATTTATATTTATACATCTATGTGTTTACACCCTGACACTTCGGTCACATATCTATATTGCTTCGTACCCGGTCCATGCGTCAGAACTATGTGGGTGGGCAGCAAGGTGGCCAGGCTCCCCCGGCAGCTGCTCCTGATGTTGCAGGGTGTTTTTGAGAATTCTCAAAAACACCATGCGTCAGAGCTATGTGGGTGGGCAGCAATGTGGCCGTGTTCCCCCAGCCCGGCAGCTGCTCCTGCTGGGAAGCGGAGCAGGTGAGTGGTGCAGCAGAGCAGGTGAGTGGTGCAGCAGAGCAGGTGAGTGGTGCGGCAGAGCACGTGAGTGGTGCAGCAGAGCAGGTGAGTGGTGCAGCAGAGCAGGTGAGTGGTGCAGCAGAGCAGGTGAGTGGTGCAGCAGAGCAGGTGAGTCGTGCAGCAGAGCAGGTGAGTGGTGCGGCAGAGCAGGTGAGTGGTGCAGCAGAGCAGGTGAGTGGTGCAGCAGTGCAGGTGAGTAGTGCAGCAGAGCAGGTGAGTGGTGCAGCAGAGCAGGTGAGTGGTGCAGCAGAGCAGGGCACGGGGTGTGTGGGTGCTGGACTCGCTGCTGATAGCCTGGTGCTGGTGGTGGGGCGTGACGCCAGTAGCCCTGCTGTAGAGCACATGGGTGAGGTGACAGGGCATGGGGCGTGCCAGTGTGGTGGTCGAGGTGTGCTTTGAGTCGAATCACTCACATGTGCTTGGATATGCTGCTGCTGCTGATGCTGGTGCTGGTGCTGGTGGTGGGGAGTGACGCCAGCAGCCGTGCAGCAGGGGAAGTGAGTGAGGTGACAGGTCATGAGGGTGTTGGTCTGGTGTTGAGTCATGGTTTGAGATGACTCCTGAACATGCTGCTTGTGCTGCTGGTGGGTAGTGACGCCAGTAGCCCTGCTGCAGAGGAGGTGTGTGAGAGGGCATGGGGGTGTTGGTCTAGTGCTTGATTTGATGTGTGGTGTGAGGATGGGGCAGGTTTCACACAACAGGTCGGCGCATGAGGCATGCCGTGTCGGTGAGTGTTAGAAGGTCAGCAATGGGCCCTTGTTTTGACCTTGGAAAGCAGGTCTCATCACTTCACCCCCCTGCCCTTGTCACTTCACCCCCCTGTGCTGGTCACTTATCCTGCCTACCTGTAGTGAACTTGTGCCAGTTTTCTTCTTTCTCCCCCTGTTTGATTCAATTTTCACTCTCCCTTCAGTTTCTGTCACTCATTATCCCCTACGTTTGCACCTGCCCTGCCCACCCCTACATACACCACCCCTTACATACACTGCCCTGGCTCCCACTCTGGTCAACATCTTGACATACGTATTTCAGGAGGACGGCCCCGGACCACCTGGATCATCTAGATCCCCCTCCCTCAGGCGGCAAGGCGAAAACATGAGCGTAATCGGAAGGGTGATGGCAGAAAGCTTGCTTGTGATTGATTAACAAGCAGAGATGGGGTACAAGAGAGGGGAAAAGCCCCCTAAAATCCTGAAAAAACCCCCCCACAGCCCCCCCAAGGCCCCCCTAAGGCCCCCCTACCCCCCAATTCTCCTCACAGCCCCTCACAGCCCCCCTCGAACCGCCCTGGAAATCCCTGGGCATGGCCCATGATGCATATCTGCTCCCTGTCATATCACATTCCTGCTTCTGCTTCTACTTTGTGCTTCCTATCTATCATATCCCTCCCGGGCATGGCATGGCTTGGCATGGCATGGCATGGCATGGCATGGCATGGCATGGCATGGCATGGCATGGCCAACCAGGGAGGGGCGCACAGCACAGAGAGCCAGGAGCTCATCCACCACTCCCTCTTCTGTTCTGCTTCTGCTCCCCACTCCCCTCCCTTTTCCCTCGCCCCTCCCCCCTTTCTCTGCCCGCCTGCGTATATAATAACAAGCACATACATTCATATTCGCTAGGTCATCAAATCTATAAGTCATCTATCACTCTACGCGTCGTAGCAAATAGCCTCATGTTGTCGACAGGAGAAAATGGCACATGCGCTCCCTCCTTGTGCGTCTGTTTCTCTCTCTTCTTCTCCCTCATGTCATGCCCTGCGCATGGCTGAACACAAGCAGGTGGCAACGCATCTACTCCCTGTTTCCGTTTCTGCCACTCTTTCATATCCCAAACCTGGCCCAAACCAAACCTGCACTCCCCCCCTCCCCCTGCATATATACTAACAAGCACATACATTTATGTTCCTAACGTAATCAGATTCATCAATCCCTACCACTCTACACATTGCAAGCCAAGTGTCTTCGTCTTGGCGACAGGAGGGAAGCTGGCACCTGCGCAAGGGGAGGTGGGGAGTTGGGGTGGGGGAGAGGGGAAGCGGAGCAAGTGAGCGGGGGGAGCAGGGCAAGTGAGGGGATGGCAGGAGGTGTGAGGGCATGGTGGGATGGCAGGTGTGAGGGATATGGCAAGGTGTGCAGTGCATGCTCTGGGGCGACTCACAACGCACCTGATGCTGGTTTGGTGGGCCATGCGGCATGGCATGGCGCTGCGCTCCCTCCCCCTGCTTCTGTTTCTCTCCCTTGTTCTCTCTCATGTCCCGCGCATGGATGATGAGGGACGGCCACACAAGCAGCTGGCAACGCATCTGCTCCCTGTGCAAAGTATCTTCATCTTGGCGACAGGAGAAACTGGCACCTGCGCAAGGGGAGGGGAGGAGTTGGGGTGGGGGAGCAGAGCAAGTGAGCGGGGGGAGCAGGGCAAGTGAGCGGGGGGAGCACCCTAAACCCCCTTACCCCCTTACCTGGCAGGAAATGAAAGTCACCATGCAGGGAATGCAAATCCACCTGCCAGGGCATGAACAGGCACCATGCAGGGCATGAGAAGGCACCGTGCAACACGCGAAGGCACCTTGCAGGGCATGAGAAGGCACCTGGAAGAAGGGGGAAAGTGGGGAAAGAGGGGAGGGGGTGGGTGAGACAGGCTCAAATGGGCAGGCGCTGCACTGGCAGCTGGCAGAAAGGGGAGGGGAGAGGGTGGCTTGGACGTCTCACAGTTCCCCATGCCCCCTTACACCCCCCCCTTGAGCAAAGAATGCACACAGGAACAACAAACAAGCAAGCAAAACAAACTAAAACAAACAAACAAACAAACAAACAAACAGGAAATTTTGGGATGGAAAGAGGGGACGGGGTGAGTGAGACCTCTTCAATCAACATGCGCTGCACTGGCACCTGCTGGAAACGGGAGGACAGAGGGGAGGTGTTGAGTGTGACACCTCAAAACATTATGCCTTGCACTGGCACCTGCTGGAAAGGGGAGGAAAATGGCATCATGCAAGGAATGAGAAGGCATCATGCAGGGAACGGCAAGGCACTTTGAGGGAATGAGAAGGCACATGATTTTTATGTGCCCTAGTACATTGTTTTGCTTTTGTGTTCATACATTCATGCATCGTTCTGGTTCGCTCTTACCACGTGGGCGTGCGCGTCAGCCTGCCCCACCCCGTGCTGCACTGTCACGCCCCACTGGCAGCTGCTGAAACACGGGGAGGGAGGGAGGAGAGGGGAGGGGAGGGGAGATGAGGGATTGGTCAAATGACTCAAAACCGAGGGGAGAGAGGAGGGGATTGGTCAAATGACTCAAAACAAAGAGGAGAGAGGAGGGAATTGGTTAAATGACTCAAAACAAAGAGGAGAGAGGAGGGGATTGGTCGAATGACTCAAAACAGAGGAGAGAGGAGGGGATTGGTCAAAGGACTCAAAACAGAGGGGAGGGAGTAGGGGATTGGTCAAATGACTCAAAACAGAGGGAAGAGAGGAGGGGATTGGTCAAATGGCTCAAAACAAAGAGGAGAGAGGAGGGGATTGGTCAAATGACTCAAAACAAAGGGGAGAGAGGAGGGGATTGGTCAAATGACTCAAAACAAAGAGGAGAGAGGAGGGGATTGGTCAAACGGCTCAAAACAGAGGGGAGAGAAGAGGGGATTGGTCAAATGACTCAAAATAGAGGGGAGAGAGGAGGGGAGCAGGGCAAGTGAGCGGGGGGAGCACCCTAAACCCCCTTACCCCCTTACCTGGCAGGAAATGAAAGTCACCATGCAGGGAATGCGAATGCACCTGCCAGGGCATGAACAGGCACCATGCAGGGCATGAGAAGGCACCGTGCAACATGCGAAGGCACCTTGCAGGGCATGAGAAGGCACCTGGCAGAAGGGGGAAAGTGGGGAAAGAAGGGAGGGGGTGGGTGAGACAAGCTCAAATGGGCAGGCGCTGCACTGGCAGCTGGGAGAAAGGGGGGGGGGAGAGGGTGGCTTGGACGTCTCACAGTTCCCCATGCCCCCTTACTCCCCCCCCCTTGAGCAAAGAATGCACACAGGAACAACAAACAAGCAAGCAAAACAAACTAAAACAAACAAACAAACAAACAAACAGGAAATTTTGGGATGGAAAGAGGGGACGGGGTGATTGAGACCTCTTCAATCAACATGCGCTGCACTGGCACCTGCTGGAAACGGGAGGACAGAGGGGAGGTGTTGAGTGTGACACCTCAAAACATTATGCCTTGCACTGGCACCTGCTGGAAAGGGGAGGAAAATGGCATCATGCAAGGAATGAGAAGGCATCATGCAGGGAACGGCAAGGCACCTTGAGGGAATGAGAAGGCACATGATTTTGATGTGCCCTAGTACATTGTTTTGCTTTTGTGTTCATACATTCATGCATCGTTCTGGTTCGCTCTTACCACGTGGGCGTGCGCGTCAGCCTGCCCCGCCCCGTGCTGCACTGTCACGCCCCGCTGGCAGCTGCTGAAACACGGGGAGGGAGGGAGGGAGGGAGGAGAGGGGAGGGGAGGGGAGATGAGGCGTTGGTCAAATGACTCAAAACAGAG